TTGTTTTAGAGAAAGAGGGTGTTGCAATATTCTGTTTTGTTATAAAATATCTCTTACTATCCAGTGAAAATGGAATACATTTACAACTCTTGCCAGTATCGAAGAATGTGGAAGATTATTTTATCGATAATGAACCCCATCTTCTGCTTGCAATGGAATAAAAGGAAAATCATTTTACATAAAGAAACATTTATAATAAAAAAGCATATGTTTAATGAAAATACAGTAATTATTGCACATTCAAATGTGGGAATAGATGATAATTCTTTTCGCACAAGACTATGTTATTACTATACAAGTATATTACTGCATGCATATTAATGCATTAGATTAATCACGCTCGCGACTCGCGTTTGCGAAAAAACAAACGCTAGCCTTTATTTTCTCAAGGTGCAACAAAAACTATTACCTGTGTGTACCTGTGCTACAAACTTTTATGCCTTCATTGTGATAAAGAACAAATAAACTTATGCGCAAGAAATATTCATGGTTGTGTTTATTTAACTGCAGCGATGATAAAATCTTACAAATAGAATCTTTTCTTCTGAACTTACTTGAATATCACATCAAGTTTATTATTTCCGATCAATTAACTTAAGCTGAAACAGAAACGTTACAAATGTGATACAATTTCTATACTTCATGCTAATAATAAACATAAATATTTCCACAGTGAAAACAGTTTTATGACATTATTATACCTATATAGTTATACGTAAATGCCAACCCAGAGTAACAGAAATAATACTCCAAAGCCAGAAAATATCGCTGCGACCAAGGATATTAACAGCTCCTTAAATATATCCCGTGTAAATTTAGTGCTCGTAACTTCGTACACGAAGAACCAAGCTGTGAAAAATATTCCAATCCCTAATAATACCACAGCCAGCAGCGGAAAAACAGCTGGATTCACCGGCGACACGTATCTCGTCATTGACTCGATATCCACCTAAGATTATTAAACAGTTGAAACTGATTAGAATATAAAAAGAAACGCGGAAATTTAATTCATTTAATTTTTTTTCTTCATGTTTATTTTGACACATGATGTAAAGACTATTTAATTAATTTTTCTAGGTTATACGCAACTCGAGTTAACCTTTCTTCTGATTTTATAAGAGTTCCAATAAAAGAGATTATCGATATCTTTAAAAAAAAAAGGATAACAATTTCTACTTGCCATTTTTTAAATTTGACGTCTTTTGACGTGGCTCGGAAGAATAAGAAAACACGTAATCGTACTTAGAGCCGCTCTTGACTAATCGAGCATGGCGTACAAAGTTATCGAGATAGACAATCGAATGAAAATATTTGTCTTCTATCGTATCTACATTTCGCATACTCCGATCGTATTTATTCAATATAATAGCACAATTTATTTTTACATTTTGTATTTTTTCTCTTTTCAAGCCGAAATATATAAAAGACGTCATTAAATGTATAAAGTGCAAGAAAGTGCAATTAGAACAGCTCGTTTTAGTCGCACATCGCACTCGTACGACCGCAAATCGTATACCTCTTTCTTTTCTTTTTTTTTCTCCGATACCTAGATATGTATATGACTATTCCGTTTTAAATCTAAAGAGAGTTTTACATAAATTGCAGCCACAAGCTATTTCTGAGACAATAGGACATGCGAGTTTTCGCGCTTCTCATTCGTGGCTGCGTTCTGCGCCTGCGCGTCTGTTCGCGCTCGAGAGCGTCCAACCGCGCTCGTTTCACGCTTCACGTTGCTTCACATTTTGGAGCAAGTCTGGAGTCTGGAGCTGGAACAAGTAGGCTATACGAACATACGTTTTGTCGTGGAACATCTCGCAGCAGCAGCCTAGGTCGCGTGAATCACAAACGAGTTACGAGTTACGAGTTACGAGGCGATCG